CTCAGGTTATCGCCATATTCGATTTCGTTTGTTGTGTGTGTGATTCTTTGTTACGTTATCGCTCTTGTTGAGAGAAATTCAATTGGAATCTGGTCTTATAATCGGAATTTTGTTTTGTTTTGATTTGATTTGTATCAGTTCTTTATTTTTTGTTGATTTGATTTGAGCGGAGATGGAATTCGTATGATGATGAGACCTCTGTTCTATTCGGGCAGAGCGCCTCTTTCCCTCAGGTTATCGCCATTTTCGATTTCGTTTGCTGTGTGTGTGATTCTATGTTACTTGATCTCTCTTGTTGAGAGAAATTCGATTGGAATCTGGTCTTATAATCGGCATTTTGTTTTGTTTTGATTTGATTTTATTTGTATCAGTTCTTTATTTTTTGTTGATTTGATTTGAGCGGAGATGGAACTCGTATGATGATGAGACCTCTGTTCTATTCGGATAAATCATCTGTTGCAGTGATGGATGATGAGGAATATACGATTTTCATTTTCTTCTCTCTTTTGGATAATTAAACTGATTAATCGTAATCTCCAAGGTTAAGATCAGGAATTCATAGAGTAGAAACTGAAACAAATATTAACCGCAAGGTTTTTCCTGATTAATAGTTTATGAAGAATTGCATTCTTTGACGCGTTTGATTTTCCTTCTTTTTTTCCCCCTTTTTTCCTTGTCGTTGCCGATTCGTGCGAGCCTGATGTGACTACTAGTTTTTGAATCGTCATGCCGTATGATTTGATCTTGTTTTTAACATGCTTGAGGCATTTTAATTTTGCAATTGTATGGTAAATACTCATTGCAGTTTAAGCCGGAGGAGATTGCAGCGGTTATGAAGGATTTTGATGAGCCTGGATCTCTTGCCCCAACTGGTTTACACCTTGCTGGAACCAAATACATGGTTATCCAGGGCGAGCCTGGAGCTGTTGTTCGTGGCAAAAAGGTTCCATTTTCTGATCACTTTTTTTAACGTCCATAGTTTTCTTTTATTCTTAGATCTTATGAGAAGTTGTTGTACTTTATAGGCTTACTCAACTTCCCTGATTTTTCTTAATTTAGTCCTTAATTTCTTAAATCCCCAGCTTAACCATTAACATCCTTACCTATAATACTATTGTTTATCCAACATAAACCTAATTTAGTTTGTTAACTTTTCAAAAAAAATCTATTAGCAAATGGATAAATGTATAAAATTGTATCATTTTATTACATATGAACACATGAATAGAATTGAATGGATGTCTGGGACATTTCCACTTGATTATAGTTTTGATCTATTGTAAGAAATTTGATTTAAATCAAAGTTTCTTTCTTAATTGTGGATCAAACTAGGTTGATTGACAGGGGATTTATAGTGTAAATGGCATATTGATGTGCATTATTACATTATATAGCTTCTCTTTGTAAATTTTATCAGTTAGAGAACCTGATTGAGAAATTTTAACGATTATAATTTGGTTTTTAGTTTTGTGCACTTGAAATTCTATTTTTAAACTGAGAAAGAAGATTATAATGATACAAAATCAGGTTCTAATGCTAGACTTAGCCTGTTTTCCATTGCATTGTTCGTGAATTTTGATCATTGGATAGGGCGCTGGTGGAATCACTGTGAAGAAAACAGAGAAAGCTGTGATTATTGGTATATACGATGAACCTGTGACTCCTGGACAATGCAATATGGTGGTGGAAAGGTTGGGAGATTACCTGATCGAACAGGGTCTGTAGACCTTGCTTGACCTCCCTCCCTCCTCCTCACCTCCATTTTTGCTGCTTTCAAAATATTGTTTGTTCGTCTTCCATTCTCTGCCCATTTCATTTGAATCACCGCCCTATGCGTTATTTCTATGTATGAGTTCTTCCCATTTCTTTAGTGTTTGAATTTTTTCTTCAAATGCTTATTAACTTCTGAATGATATAAATTTGCGATACTATTGCTCCTTCCATCCATCATTTAGTTATGTAAAATTCTCAATTATAATGTGACCATCTGTTTGAATAGTTTCTGATTCTTGATTATTATTGAGTGATAAATTATGGGTTTAGGGTTTTATTTTGAATTCAAAAACATAGAATATATGTATGGAGATTTTTTTTTATTTTTTTTTTTATGATAAGAGTAGAATATTAGAATGAAGACGGAAGAAGGAATGGTCTGGGAAATGAAGCCCACGAAATAATGTAGATTCCCTTTTTGGAATAGGCAACTGAATAAGAGGGAGGAAAAAACAAACAATTTTTTTCAAAAAATATATTATCTTTTATCGCTTCATATTTGAAAATTGAAATATAATAATTTAGTGATATTCCTGGATGGATAAGGATTCAATTTCAAATTCCCACCATTATTATTTGTTTTGTCCTGTAAAATCATTGAATCTATCTTTTCTATTCACTGCCCGAAGAAGATATATATATATATATATATATATGATTTATTTTCATCATAAAAAGTAGTACCATCGTTAAGACTGTGAATTTAAAATTAAAGTTTAATATAAATTTTTTTAATTTGTGTGTCCTCTAATTTCTATGGTTTTCTTTCTATCCCGTAAGACTTGTTTTTTTTTTTTTCTATTGTTTTCTTTTTATTTTGAATGAGTCACAATAACCCACTCCAATGGTGTGTCTTTCTATTAATACGAATTTTTAAGTTGTTGAGAAAAAAAGGAAAGCAGAGGAAATTTTCGGTATAGCGGTGAAATGCATAGAGATCGGAACACGGCGACAGCACTCTGCTGGACTGACACTGACTGAGAGACGAAAGCTATGGGAATGAATGGGATTTGATACCCCAGTAGTCTTAGTCGTAAACGATGGATACTAGGTGATGTGCGTATCGACTCGTGCAGTGTTGTAGCTAATGCGTATCAACCCAAGCGAAAGGGAGTACATTCGCTAGAATGAAACTCAAAGGAATTGACGAAGGCTCGCACAAGTGGTGGATCATGTGGTTTAATTCGATGCAAAGTGAAGAACCTTACTCGGGCTTGACATGGTGCGAATCCTCTTGAAAGAGAAAGGTGGTGCATGGCTGTCGTTAGGGTTAAATCATTATGTGAAAAAGTTTATTTCAATATTTTTTGACTTCCTAAAACATCTGGGTTTTATGAGAACCATTCGAATAAAGTAATATAGTGATTCAAAGGGTTCTCGATGTCTTTTATTATCACACCATTTTTTAGTCATTTTTTATAGGCGTTAACATTGACACTTTTGAACGAAACAGTAATGAAGCTCAAATTTGTAAACACTTTCATTTTTGGGTCATTTTAATAATAAAAAAAATCAAATCTAGGCATAAGTAGCAACTCATTTCTTATTTCGGTTGAAAAAATGATCCAATCCTCATTCAATTCTCTCTACTCTCGATAACATTAATCCAAAAATTCAAACCCTCAATTTATGCATTAAATTTCACCGAAATAGAGTAGCAAAAGTAACCCACCTATAACTATTTCCGTTCAAATATGGTCTACAAATCTATATGGTCCAATTCCTACCATACTTTTAATGCCAAAGATACATTATTTTCTAAAAAAATCATAAATTAAATATTAATTCGAATTGGACCATTGTGGGCTGATGAATGGGCCTAATCTTAATTAATGACCAATCAAACCCCGTACGGCCAATTATAAGTCTAATTACATTAATTAATCACATTTTTTGTCCCCACTTTTCTTGAACTAATCACTTATTTCAGACAAAAAGTATGGATTTTTCAGAATTCAAATTCAAAAAATTAAATTAATAATCCAATCTTTTAGTGCTTGCCACATGCCCACAATTCAAACCCCAACGCTTAATCTTTTATTTTATTACACAATTATTAGATTATATATATATATATATATATATGACGAAAGCATGGCCTTAAAAGACTTCAAATCTTTTTCTATTAATTAATTTTATTCATTTTCTTGAACAAATCAATTTCCTTTTTTTTATTGTTTTTTTTTAATTAAATAAAGGCAAAAAAAAAATTGTGTCTTTAATGTTTGAATCAGAAGAGACATACCGGAAAATTCGGGGAAATTACTTGTTTAATGTTGTTATAGCCGTTTCTTTTTCAGAATCTTTTATACCCTTTCGATTCTGCAATTCTCAAGTTTCTTCTGGTTAATCGAGGGTGTTTTTGGTATTTCACCTACCCGATTTGAATTTTTGAACTCTCATGTGAGCTGGGTTTGGTTGTAAGATTCATTTTTTTTTCATTCATTGTTGTTATTGGTCTCTATGGACGTTAATGCTTTGGAATCGAGCTTGTTCCATTGTGGTAATATATTGTAGGATTTGCAATCGTTAAATATCTTCTTAAATAGGTTGGACATTAAATCCATACTCGACACCTAGTTTGACACATTTGTTGCGAGGTCTCATACCAGTTAGGAAAGAGAACGAAACATCGTTCACAAAAGGGTTTTAAAAACTTTGAGTGGAAGTTCGAAAAGGAAAGCCTAAAAAGGACAATATCTGCTCGTGGTGGGTTTGGGCTGTTACATATGTTCTTTCACTGTTCTTATTCGAATCTTTACTCTCTAGCTCGAGCATGGAAACACCCTACATGTTTTTATAGATATATCTTGACCAAAAAATCGGAGATTTAAAATTTTGAACGAAAAATGAGAGGAAAGTAAGGGTTTGATCTCCAAGTTGTTTGGGTGAAGTTGAGTGTTTTTTAAGGTTGGTAATCCAAAGACATACCATAATCATGTCAGGAAGCTTAAATCCTTAAAAATTTGGAGTTCATTTGAAGCAAACAATCTCCAAAAAGTGTACCTTTTTTTTTTTTTTTTTACTTTTTTATACCAATCATGGGATTAAAAGGAAGTGGTAAAAAAAAGGAATTTACAAGCTCCCTTTGTTGGGTATTTATCTCATTCATTCATTCATTCATTGAAATTTAACAGTAAAAAGTAAAAATGTGAAGTAGAAAAAAGAAAAGCTTTGATTTGAGACAGATTTCAGCTTCTTCTATCCCATTCTTGATTTTAACAAACAAACAAAAAAAAAAAAAAAAAAAAAAAAAACAAGAACAGATCACTCAAAAATCATATGATGTTTCTTCATCTTCATCCTGTTCTTCATGTTCTTCATGTTCTTGCAGAGTTTGGTTGCTTGGTCTCTGCATTCTTACACTGCTTAAGCTGTTTCTTGCTGCCATTATTTCATTCAACGACAGCTTCTTCTTGGATCCTGGCTCTGGCCTTTGTTTTGGGGCACTTTGAGACCTCAATTTCGCCTTAAACGATTGAGTGTTCGCCATATAATTCGGGCAGTTCATGTAAGGCCTAAAGAAGCTGTCGCCGCAGACACTCTTTGATGGGGTAACTGACATGTTCGTTGAGGCGAATGAATTCGATAGCCGAGGCGTGCTGTGAGCTGTAGGGAACTTGCAGTCTTCGCCCATCAAGCACCATTCGAAATCTCGATGCACATTGTGACAATCAAGCGTAAAAGTGCGAGGTCGATTCGAATATGGCAATGGCGAAGTGATTGCTTGAAGAGGTGCTGCTTCGTCTCCTCCATATTCGGACAATGTAGAGATGTACCTACGAGACTTTGATCGGGTTCGGTAAGTGTCGATTTCGACGATTTTTGGGCTCTCGTCCAATGAGTTGATGGAGGTTTCATAAGATGATGCTATAGACAATCTCTTACTATGAAATTCACTTCTTGTTTCATCCAAACGTTCCTGAAAATTCAAGAACCAAGTTAGAATTCATAAATCAAATGGTTATCAAATAGGGCCGATTTAGTTTTCGATATCGAATCTTACCGCAGATTTCCGAGGCCGAATCTCGGGAATAAACCTATTTTCTTTATTGAAAGATCGACGAGCTCTTTGAGTTCTAAGGGCAGTTTGAGCTCTAAAAAGTGCCTGCATACTGTGAAGAGTTGCAGCAGCTCGTTTTCGGACGAGAAATCCTCGAACGACAGCCTGCAACTTAACGAGTCCCTTGAGAGCTCGTAGAGCTTTTCGAGCCTGACCGTAAACAAACAAACAACAATTGAGAACTTTAAAATGGATCAAAAGTGTTTGAATTTATTACTGTTTCATTGAAAGAGGTTGTACTGTTTCATTCAGATTATGAACTACTTTTACCAGACAAAACAGGATGAAAAGATGAAAAAATAAGGTAAAAAGTACAATTATTCCATAAGAAATAACCTTTGTATTTGGTAAAAACTGAAGTATTTTACTTACCAAATAGCCTTTAAAGACTGTTTGAATCTTGACAGCAGCCCATCTATCTCTTCCAGTAGTATACAGAGGACCTCTTCTTTGGCTTGTCAGCCGGACAACGGCGACCGCCGCCTGAGCCGCGGCGACGGCAGCATCAGCAGCAGCAGCAGTAGCAGCCGCCACTGCAATTGCGTGCTTGTTCTGCTCTTTCTCCGAATCAGAAATGTAAGAACTGAACCAAGCCGAATCTACAGCCACAGTTGGCGGCGGCGTTTGGCCGGAATCTCTACCGGACTTCGCAAAACTCCATCTTTTCTTCTCCTTTCTGTCGGAAACCACCGGCGTTGGTTTTGAATCGGAATTCCCAGATGGGTCTTTGTCTTTCTTGATTCCCAACAGACCCTTCAACCATCTGGTAGCTTTCCCCATGTTTAGAGAGAGAAAGAAGGAAACCCACAAGAAAAATGACGATCCTAGAGAGAGAAAAATGGCTCAAAAGGTAAACATTATGTCAAAACTCCAAGGAGATAGACGAACAGGTGTAATATAAGGAGATAGACAGAGAGAAAGCTCTGTTATGAACTTGACATGTTGCAGACACAGAAGTGATTAGCAAACACAAAGCATCTAAATAGCTTCATTTTTAAACCAAAAAACAGAGGAAGAGAGAGAATAAGGGATTTTGGGGTTTTTTTTTCTTCTTTTTATTCTGACAGCATCTCGTGAAAAAAACTGCATTACAAGACAAAAAAAAAACGTCACACAAAGCTTTAGAGAGAGAGAGAAAAAAAAAGAAACGGAAAGAACTTTTGAAATCTTTGAACTTTAAATTCAGAGGATCGTAAAAAACACCAACCCCCACCTTCTGGAATTCAAGAAAATGGCGAAATCCTCCAATGGGTACTCTGTTTTTCTCTCTCTAAAAAGTAGCCTAGATTTTAAAAAAGCTCAGAGAAGATCAACAATGGCTGCCAATGGCGATGAGAGAGAAGAATAGCTTTCCCTTTACAGAAGCAGAGCTATGGTTCGTAGCTTCACTTTTGGATCAGTAAACAGAGGAATAGAAACAGAGTATTCAGAACAAAATTTCCATCAATGAGAACTGCTCTGTTTTTTCCTCTGTTTTCAAAGCGAAGGGATCTTTCTAAAACAAGTACATTAAATCGCAATCCAGAATGTACTGATTCAACTAAACACACAGTTTTAAAACGAAGGGGGAATTGCCCGATTTTTGGGATTTTAAATCTTTTTTTTTAATTAAAGATTTATTGGCTAATTTTGGAATGGAAAAAATAGTGTTATAAATTAGTGTCAAATGTACGGTCCAGATTCTTTTGGATTTTTAATTTCAAATTTTGAATGGTGGAGATCAGAGCAACGTTAAGATACAGAAATAAATAATTTAATATTCAAATTTAATTATTATTGTTATGTTATTATGTTAAAAAAATAATGAGATATGATATGGAGATCTTCATTTTGATTTTACACTCATTATTCCTATTTTACACTGTAATTAATATTTATAATTATATTTTTGGAATATCAATTATTTATTTCTTTTTTTTTAAGTCTATATGTATATATATGTATGTATATATATGTATCTAAAGAATGTTTGTCAATTAATCATGGATATACTATGTTAATCAACATTATTAACTGATTATTTTGAAAATTAAGAATATTTGACAAACAGTGATGGGTTGTGATGTGTAAATGTTTGGTTTTTGTTGAGTTTTATAAAATTTTAGTTATTGATGTTTCGTGTATTATAAATAAGTTTGATTTTTTAAATAATTAAAAGAATAATCCAATTCATCGGAATCAAGAAATAGAGGGTTAGGTTGCAAACTCTATTTGGGTTGCTCGAATCACCCACTTAACCAACTTGAAATTTAGGGCTAGTCTAAAAGATTTATCAATCTAACTCAAAAGATTTTGTCTTGAACGATGGTGTGTTTGCCGTATAATTTGGGCAAGTCATGTAGGCCTAAAGAAGCTCTTGTCGTGACCCTCTTTGATGGGGTCACCGGCATGTTGGTGGAGGCGAATGAATTTGATAGTTGGGACATGCTGTGAGTGGTAGGGAACTTGTAATCTTCGTCCATCAAGTACCATTTGAAGTCTTGATGTACATTGTGACAATCAAGTGTAAACGGGTGAGGTCGATTTAGACATGGCAACAACGAAGAGATTGGTTGGAGAGGTGCTGCTTTGTCTTCTCCATAATCGGATAATGCAGAGATGTACCTACGAGACTTTGATCGAGTTTGATAGGTGTCGATTTTGATGATTTTTGAGAGTTGATGCAGATTTCATAAGATTATGATATAAATAATTTCTTATTATGAAATTCACTTCTTGTTTCATCAAAACGTTCTTGAAAATCCCAAAGAAATAGGAACAAAGTTAGAGTTTCACTCATCTGTTTGTTAATCATTAGACGAAAACTAAATAAATCAAATGGTTATCAAATAGGGTCATTTTGATATCGAATCTTACTGCATACTTTCGAGGTCAAATCTCAAGGATAAACCTATTATATTTATTGAAAGATCGATGAGCCCTTTGAGTCCTAATGACCGTTTGAGCTCTACAAAAGGCTTGCATACTGTGAATAGTTGCAGTAGATCATTTTCTCGCGAGAAATCCTCTAGCCACAACTTGCAATTTAACCGGTCCCTTGAGCTCTAATGGCTATAAAAAAAGACTTAGAGTTCCACTCATCTGTTTGACAATTATTTTGTGAAAAATTAAATAAATCAAATGGTTATGAAATGGGCCGGGTCCAATTTCAGGGATAAACCTATTATATTTATTGAAAGATGGACGAGTGAGCTCTAAAAAGAGTTTGCATAACGTGAATAGTTGCAGCAGCTCATTTTCAATCTTTTAATGATAGCCATAAATTTAACTAGTCACTGTCACTCTTAGAAATATAAAGAAACTTAGAGTTTCCCTTATCAGTTTGATATCATTTGGCAAAAACTAAATAAATCAAATGATTATCAAATAAGGTGGTTTTGGTTTTGGTTTTCGATATCCAATCTTACAACAGAATTTTCGGGATCGAATTTCAGGGATAAAACCTATTCTTTCTATTGAAAGATCAACTAATTTTTTTAATTTTATAAAATTTTAGTTATTAATATAATAAATTTGGTTTTTTAAATGATTTAAAAAATAACCAAAAATCCAAGAGAAAAATAGAGAGTTAGGTTGAGAACTTTATTAGAATTGCTGAGTTACCAATGTAATCAACTCGAAATTTAAGGTTGGTCTAAAAGATTTACCAACTCAACTCAAATCGTGTACACCCAGTTCTAGAATTATATTGTTATCGCCGGAATTTCAACCTCGAACTTCACTTGGAATTTAAAATAATTTATGTGATTTTGATTAATGCACTTTTTTTCCCTCAACTTTTAAATTAATCTAAATCACAAAATAAATAACTTTTCTAAATCACTATTTTTTTAAATTCATAATTTTCGTTTGTCTAAAATAAAACAAAATAATAAATATATATTTTTAAAAATTGATTATTTATTTTATTTTATCAATAATCCAAATGAAAAAAAAAAAAAAGGAAAATGACATGTTTTTTTATTAGGAAAAAGAAAAATAAAATGAAGAAATCAAAAATAGAAATTATCAAGTTTCCGCCGCTGCTTTCACCCACACGGCCGCCCCGATCTTAAATTCTTAACCGACGATTTCACCTCAGCTTTCTCTCTCTTTCCGTTCCTCCGCTTCCAATTTCTCTTGGTATTCCTCATTCCAATTTCGTTTTTGATTTTGTATTTCTTACCTTTTCCTTTGCCTCAACTTCCATATCTTGCTGTCTCAATTTGAGTTTCCATTCGCGATCTGTATTTCTGGGAGTTTTCGACTTCAAAAGAAAAAAAAAAAAAAAAAAAAAAAAAAAAACCCAACAGCGATCAAAAGGCCATACAATCATAAGAACAGGATACACTTCTATTATTATATTTAAGTTGAACAAATTCTTTACGTAAATCCTTTCATCCGGCCCCAGGCAATATAACAGACAGGAAGAGTTAAGTAGAAGCTTAAGTAGATAACAATTGGGTCTAACCGTAACTTTAAATTCAACGGTCCATCCTTCAACTGTACAAGTATTCACTCGTTCCATCATCAACTCCCTCACTTAAACAAAGTACCAACCAACCAACCAATAAAACTATTTGCATGAGGTCGTTCAACTAACTTCACATTGCATTTTCAGCTGGTTGGGACTGGTAGGTGCGCCGCCTTAACTGGGACTCTGTCGATGGCTGTTGTAAGAAGATTTTGGTCGGATCATGTGGGTCCACATATCTGCAAGTTAAACACCAAAAACATAATCAAATGAAAAATTTTAACTTGACCGTGAGATCGAATTTGACGAATGATAACTTACGCATGTCTCATCATTTCATCGACAGGAGTTTGTGCTGCCTGCAATGGATCGACTCGAGGACCTGCATTCGTGTATTGATTGTATTGCCTCACTGAAGACAGCAGGTTGAAGAAGAGTGGTACAAAGGTACCACATCCCCCTTCCTTGAACAAAATCTTAAACGAGTGTGTCGAATAGAGAGCTCTGTGCTGGTCATCAGGCACCACCTGTGAGATAAGCTATTGATTAAGCTGCCTGAAGTGGGACTCGGGACACACTAAACAANGTTGATTTCTTCTTGTTCGATCTCCATCGCTGTTATTTCATCCAGGTGTGATCTTTTGCGGGTTGTGGTTTCGTTCTGGTTGAGGGATGGTTTCATCTTTAGTTTCAGGTTTAGGGCATTGAAAATTTTAGATTCTTGTTCTCCAATTTTAGGATTATTTCGGGGAACCTTCTTTTTTGTTTGCAATACGTGATGGGTAGAGCAGAGTATTCACCGTTAACTGCGAAACAAGCGGTGCCGAAGTGCCATGGTGTGACACAGCCAATATCGTTGGCAGGGCCCTGTGACGCTGACGTGCAAAGAAACAAGGAGTTGGAAAAGGTTTTAATTGATAATTTGCGGCTGTTTTTTGTGCATGATCCGAAATTAGGTTGGTTGATTTTGTTTTTTGTTTATCGTGTAATAGTTTCTGGTTGATTCTGGCTTGTACGAAAGCAAAGAGGAATCTGCCAAGAGAGAGGAGGTTCTTTGCCGGATAGGACAGGTGATGAACTTTAATCTGTCGAACAAAATCTTCAGTATCTTTTCCTCGTTGTCGATGGTGAGTTATCTAAGAGTTACAATTAGGGATGGAACTTAGGAAGAGGAAGAAAAATTATTGCACAGCCACGATCTTAGACGCAAGTTCGATGCTTATGTCTATAATGTTGGATATGTTTGACGCCATTTTACATACAGACAATGACTTATGACAGTGATAGATTGGTTTATGTTTATATCAGTTTATCAAATGATGATTTTCCTAATAGTATGGTCATTTTGACAATTCGAATCTCTGCAATTGTGAAGTATTCAGAGTGAAAGCTGCGACTTGCTGCAGTGGTCGATATTTTACTATTTTGCTCCTTTAACTTCCTATTTTATCTCTCTGACTAATGTGTTTGTCTATTTCCCTTCTCTTTTTATACTTCTCTAGATTGTGAAAGACTGGGTAAAACAGCTTACTCGCATAAAAGGTTATACAGATCAAATGGTGGAGGATGCAAATGCTGTGATCTTTACTTTTGGTTCCTATCGTCTCGGGGTATGCACAATTATTGCACTGCTATTTCTTCTCCATGATCTGTAAACAGTTTCAGTGCCTTTGCCATTACACTTATATGCCTTCAATTCTATGGTGCACCTGTCCCATGTAGCGTCTTAGTTAATTTATAGTCTGTTGCTATGATTGCATTTCTTTTTTGGGTGGTGAGGGAAGAAACAATTCGTGAGTAACTCACTAAGAGACCGGGGATAAGTCATCTATCCCCCTTTCACAGCAAGTTAAGTTACATAAACGGCAGAAGGCATAAGCTAGGATAGGTAAAAACCAGATCCTTCACCTCACCATCCACCATTCTAAGAGGCCTCTCCAAAAGGTTTGGACTGCTACCTAGCCAAAGTTTCCAGCACGAGTCAAAGTGATGTCAACCCATATAATCTTATTCTTCCCAGAAACCACTCTTGGTTACTGTTTTCAGAATGTTGTAGAATTGAGCTTTCCCTCGACAGATATAGTTCAAAGACCAAATTTTGGTCACAAAAATTACCTCTTCTAAGCAGTTATTGTATAGCAGCTGCCAAGGTTTTTGTGTGATTTGTCCTCAGCCGAAATCCTTTGTAACACCTCTATAATATTGAAAATGTGAAATGTTTTCCTTTTTTTCCTTTTTCGTTTTCATGTATTACATACCTTATGGGGCTTTTTACATTTGTTTCGTACTTGTCAATCGGTTGTTGCATGGGTTTGTGTTGTTGTAGGTGCATGGACCTGGAGCTGATATAGACACGTTATGTGTTGGGCCATGCTATGTGAACAGGGAGGTGAGTGTTAGATGTGAGTTATTTGGTTCTCTTACTTATGATGGTTTTATAAGAATATAATCCTATATCTGTTTTTATTTTTTTCAGGAGGATTTCTTTTATATATTACACAATATTTTGGAAGAACTGGAAGAAGTGACTGAGTTGCAGCCAGTTCCTGATGCTCATGTCCCAGTGATGAAATTCAAGTTTGATGGAATATCTATTGACCTACTTTATGCTAGTATATCTTGTCTGGTTGTGCCTGAAGTAAGTGGCAGTTGACTCTTGTTCATTATCTTGTTGCAAAACATTGCCTAATTGTATTGCTTTTGAACATATCATGTTCTATTTGACCTTCCTTGTGGTATGGCTGTGAAAATTGTGTTTGTTTTTTGTTGTCACTGTTTACTTTTAGGATTTGGATATCTCTGACGTGTCTGTCCTGTATAATGTTGATGAGCAAACTGTTAGAAGTCTTAATGGTTGTCGGGTTGCTGATCAAATTCTAAAGCTTGTTCCAAATATTGAGGTGAGTGGCTTTCTATTTTACAGCCTTCTTTTTGTGAATTTCTTGCACACTAAAATTCCTGTCTGGAAACTGTAATCCCCATTTGTTTCATCCTGTGTACGCAGAATTTTCGAACAGCACTTAGATGCTTGAAGTTTTGGGCAAAAAGGCGTGGTGTTTATTCAAATGTGAGTTTGTCTTTTAATACTGTGTATATATGGCTGATTAGTTGATACATTTCTTTCCTGCTTTAATACTCTTATCACATGCTTGAGCAGGTTACTGGATTTCTTGGTGGGGTAAACTTGGCACTTCTTGTGGCACGGGTTTGTCAGCTTTATCCAAATGCAGTACCAAGTATGCTGTTGTCTCGATTTTTCAGAGTCTATACCCAGTGGCGTTGGCCAAACCCTGTGATGTTGTGTGCAATTGAGGAGGATGATCTTGGGTGTTCTGTATGGGATCCTCGTAAAAATCATCGCGATAGAACTCATCATATGCCTATTATAACACCTGCATATCCATGCATGAATTCTAGCTACAATGTTTCAACAAGTACACTCCGAGTTATGATGGAACAGTTCCAGTTTGGTAACAGAGTTTGTGAGGTAATGCATCCATACATTTCTAAGTTTTACGTGGTTACTAATTAATAGGCAGAGATTAAGAGTATTGAAGGCATTTCCTGTTACTTTAATTGTTTGTGGAAATTTCAATTCATCAGGAAATTGAGCTGAATAAAGCACAGTGGAGTTCTCTTTTTGAGCCGTATTTGTTTTTTGAAAGCTACAAAAACTATTTGCAAGTTGATATAGTAGCAGCTGATGCTGATGACCTACGCACTTGGAAAGGATGGGTAGAGTCTCGGCTTAGGCAGTTAACATTGAAGGTATTCTTTTTTTACATTCAAATGAATTATGGTAATGATGATAATACTGTTTCTCAACTATGAAGCATTTCTGTTCTTGAATTGAATTAAACTTTCAGGTAATAGGAATGTCTTCCCTTTGCTGATGGTTTTCGTAATTGTGTGCAGATTGAGAGGAATACTAACGGAAAGTTACAGTGTCATCCTTATCCACATGAATATGTCGACACATCCAAGCCATGCGCCCATTGTGCGTTTTTCATGGGTCTGCAGAGGAAGCAGGGAGAGATAATTCAAGAAGGGCAGCAGTTTGATATACGTTCAACAGTTGATGACTTCAAGCATAATGTAAATATGTACATGTTTTGGAAGCCAGGAATGGAAATCTTTGTTTCTCATGTCCATAGAAGGCAGATCCCTCTTTTTGTGTTTCCAGAAGGTCATAGACCTCGTGCTTCAAGGGTATCAGCTTTGCAACGTTCTGATGGACCAAATCAAGAAGATGTACAAAATTGTAGGAGTGGCAGTGGTGAGAGATACCTTAAGAGAAAAAATGATCTCAATCGAATTGAAGGAGAGCATGGTTTTCCTGAAAAACGACGGTCTATTAGTCCTAGAAGGCAGGATTCAGTTTCATCCAACATCAGTCAATTTTCAAATAGTGCTTCTTCTGAGCATCCGGAAGCTGATGTTGAAGCTAAAACTATTGATGAGAAGAATAGAATGTGTCAGACGATCACTCGGGAAACTGAAGAGTTGACTTTTGGTGTCTCTAGTATTGGTAGTGGTTCTTCAAGGAAAGAATCTAGAAGTGTAGAGAGTGACAAAGGGTGTACAAAAGAGAAACTTGAGTCAGAAAAAATTCCTCGTATCGAAATTGGACATAGATGTGCATCTAATTCCAGTGTGATCACTACCTTAGCAAGTGAAAGTAGTTCCTGCGAGAATGTCGGGTTCGCTGCGGGTAGTAGTGAAGGAAATGCTGGGAGCATAGAAGGAAGTGCTGATGAAAGTAACAATCCAGGGACACCTGTGGTTGATTCGTGCGAGGCAGATTCTGAACTTCAGTTGGAGAACAGTCGTGTAAATGGAGATATCATGCATATGGAGCCAAAGGTGTGGGCTTTCATTCCTTTTATTGGTTATCTTTGATTTGACATGGTCCTTTTTGTATACTACCTTACAAGTTTTCATTTTATTCTGGTTTGACATGTGAAGCCAAATGCTGCGCTTGAGTTGGCATTAAATCCTGGAGGTGGGGTTAAAACAGAAACCATCCCGAACTCAGTGATAAGGCATGTTATCTTTTAAAGAAAGATTCAAATGCTATTTCTGAGCTCTGCTTATATATTGTTTTGTCTTTATACTTCTCTTCCTTTCTTTTTTTGGTGTGTGTTTCCAATGTTTTTACCAGATTGAGTATGGCCTCAACAGCGTAAGAGGAGAAAGATGAATAAGAACTCTCTATATGACGGTCTAATCCCACCTTTGTGAATCCATTTTGGCCAAAGAAGACATGGAAGGAAGGAAAGAAAGAAAGAAAGGAAGAAAGAAAGCCATTCGGGGTAAGTGTTATTTGAATTGCTGGCCTTGGCGTGTCATTCTTTTGTTTTTTGTTTTTTGTTTTTTTTTTAAGTGCCCACATTTTTTATGCCTACAAAATGCACCATCACTGCGGATCAGAAAAATTATTAAACAGAGTGAAAAGTCCGTTGTACTGATTATTATACTCGTTGCACTTATGATGATTTCAAACAAAACTGGTCTTCAAGAGCTTTGTGAGCCTCAAAGGGGCTTCCCTTGGCTTGTTGGGATTCTTGCTAATTTACATTGTTTTGGCTGCTGAATTGAGTGCTAGCTACCCCATCGTTGGACTTCGTCGTCATCGTCATCGTCACCCCGACCTCACTAGTCATTTGTAACATATCCATATCCATATCCATATCCATATTCATATTCATATCCACGAACCCTTGTGTTAATTATGGTGACGAGGGAGGTCTCGTCTTTCTATCTTTTCTTTCTTTTTCTTTTCTAGCTTATTGAGATTGGAATGGGATTAAGTTTTTAGATTTATGAACAAACTACCTGACTTGGTGTTTCTTGACATCGATTGTAATCTACCAACTATTTGTGTTAATACAGACAACTATGTCAGCTTCTCTATCTCTATCTTGATTCTGCAAGTTTTTTTGTTTTCAGCTTTTGGAACAATCAGTAGATATTTGATGCTTGAAATATGATATTGAGTTTATAAGGTTTTTGTTTGAATAAATATGTGCTGTGCCGTGCTGTGCTGTGCATGGTGTATATTTTCAAAGATGTCTCTATGTGACGTCGTTGATATATGATCGAACAGCGCTCGGGCACAGAGCACGTTGGCTACAAATATCTGTTTGTTTTTACTTTTGAATTCTCATAAGCTTTTCTTACAGAGTTTTGAAATTTTGTTTTACAATTTGATGTTTCTGTTTTAATTGGTGGGGTAATTTGAGTTGGTTGTGGAAATTCTAATTTATTTATTTTAACCTCGTGCTTAAATTCTAATTAATCACTTTTAATGATTATATTTTTTGGTGTAAACAATTCATTCATGCTGCTCCAATTGGATTTCATTAATTAATTGAAAAATATTTTATTCTTAAAAGGCATTTATTTTTTTATTAAATAAAAAAACATAATAACATGACTTTCTGAATTTAATTAAAAGACATTTATTTTAATTAAAATTCTGATAAAAGGCCCTTCAATTACCCAACAAATATCAATCATTTTAAATTATTATTCTGGAACTTTTTTATTACAAAAGAACAAAAAGTTAATAAATACATTAATATATAACGAGAAATATTTTTGCAGTCGAAAACCTTTTCTTTTTTAAGTTAAAAAGATTATAAGAATAAACTTAAAAATCCAAATGTGAAAAAAAATTGAAGGGTGTTAAGAATATTTCTTTTTTGAAATTTTTAAAAAAGATTAATAAATAAAATATAAAGTTTGAATGGTATTTTTATAATTTAACGTAGTAATAATAATAAAAGAGAAAAAAAAGGTAGTGGGGGCAATGATGATGTTTTGAATACTTGAATTTATTACCGTCAACCAAAGCGCGTAACCTAATATAATATCTGAGGCATGTTGGTAGTGAGTTCTAATAATTAACCGATGATTATAAGTTTAGGAATACATTTTCATTGATACGAGACTTTCTGAAAAAGCAAAAATGAAAGTCGCAGGAGCTTATGTTCAAATTAGACAATATCATACCATTTCAGAGGTTAGTAATTCCCAACAAAACAAACACCGAAAAATACGAAAAACGATTGAGGCTTCAAATATTAATACAAATTTGACCTGCAAAGTTTTATTGTTTGAAAATACTAATAATAATAATAATAAATAGACATAAAAATCCCAAGTGGAAGTGCTCCAAATTCCTCACCCCTCTTCGGTTTTTTCAGTAATTTTAGTCCATATAGCTATGAGTTTCCATTTGATCTTTTGGTCGGCATCACCTTTCATTGCCCACTATCCACATAAACCAATACTAAATATACGATCTTCGAGCGTCAAATCTTCTCCCTCAGTAGATCTTCTATATGGATAATACACATTCCAGTTCAACGAGCCTTATTCTAATTGTTTTGTTTCGAACCAAACCACAGAACGGTTCGTCCTATTCTAATATTCACGACCAAAAAATACAGAATTCTCTTTCAGGTAGGTCCGGAAAGGAGAGGGAAGGTTGGAATGCCAATAAGCATCTATTATTGAATTCACCCAACCCGATAATACCTCATTTTTGGAACGTCATGTGCCAAAATCACTGAATGGGTAAGTCGCCAATATTCACTAACATTTTTTCATTGAATATTTTAATTGGTTTGTTAGCTTGACAAGCAGAATTTGAATTCTTTTACATCTTTCCACATGCAACATCGAGAGGAGAAACGTTGAAAAATGTCAACTTGAACATAGCTCATTAATCAAGACGTACGTGTTTTTGTTTGACTAAAACGTCACGAGTTCACATTCCTATAAGACGAAAGTGGCAGAAACTTTTATAAATTGGCACTGCCAAACCCACAACCCCATCAACATTGTTCTTCTTCTTCTTCTGCTTCTTCTTCTTCACCAAATAAACCCTTTTTTCCAGTCAAAATCTCCATATTGCAGCTTCCACTAATTTCATGGAACCCCTTTTCCCCACAGCCCACAGTACGTAAATCTTCTTCTTCTTCCTCTTCTTCTTGTTCCTATTTTGAGTGATTTTCTCAAAATGGGTGTTTTTGTATCCCTCTGTTTTAAGCTTAACTTGTGTTTGTTTGCCAAAAAAGCCTCTTTTTTAACAAAATTTGGCTGATTTGTCAAACATGTAGACAAGGTAAATTGTCAGGCACACAGGGTAAAGCCCAGGCACTTAAAACGACTGCGTTTCAGTTTACTTAAACATCATGCAAATAATTAAAAAAAAAGAATGAAGATTAGAATTCATAAAGTTTGTACCTTTTTTTGTTTTTTTATCTCCTGTGTTGTTTTTAGGAAGCTTTTATGAGTCATTATAGGAACTATAGACAGCTTATAAACAAAAGCTTATACCATATATTATATTTGTAATATAAACAATCTTAGCTAGATTGTAATGTTGGATGTGATTAAGCGGAAAGAGCTTGATCTTCGACTCTTATCTTTTGTATCTCTAATTCTTTTTTTTTCATGAAATTAGTGAAGCAAAATACTTATTCTATACACAATGTGGAGTGTAGATTCCATCATATGTATATTAATTTTAGTTCAACAATGCGAAGTGGATATTCAGTTCCATCATCTAGATACCAATTTAGTAATTTTATATGACTTACATTTGTTAGATTGAGAAAAGAAAAATATATCTTAATTTAAAAAATGATTTATAATATGTTACCAAGTTAAACTAATTAGAGAAAATAACAAATAAATTCTCGATATATGATATATGTCAATGAAGTAATCAACCAATTAAAAGAAATTTTTATCATTTTTGGGTATTTTGAGCTCGTTAAATGGTTTGTTTGTCCCGGTTATTGTAGCACATGTCTCATTGTGAAAATAAGAAAGACATGAATATCTAATGTTTTTAATTACTTCATTCTAATTTAACGGTTATTTTCTATATAAAACTTTTAATTGCTACTAAAACATGAGTTGTGCTTGTGATATGTTACTTAATCCAATTCAGTTGCATGAGTTGTTCTTTTAGAAAAGAGCGATACACTCAACTAATTTTTAATAACAAAATTTAATAAGACATCGTCCTTTTTCTCTCGAATAATAAAACATACGTCTTGTAAACATCAAAGATAAATAGAAGTGGAGAGCGATGACACTAGAAAAAAGTACTAGTGGTTAGAACAAACTTGCATAGTTCAAAATGCAATGAAGTTGTGAACATCAAAAATAAATAGAAGCGGAGAGCGATGACACTAGAAAAAAGTACTAGTGGTTGGAACAAACGTGCACCGTTCAAAATGCAATGAAGTTGAAGAGACAGGACATTTTTTAACGATGTTGAGAATTAATAGAGAGTTTTTATGCGCATAAAATAGGAACCAGACCACGAAATCCAAAAAAAAATTCATTTATGTTACGATAAAAGTGAACAAAAAGTTGGAAAGATGTATTAAAAGTTCCGTTAATTTCGGGAAAGACATAAGAGACATGATGACTTGATATTGCCTTTGATTACCTTCTTCTAACTCATAATCACAATACATCTATTCGAGTGTTGAATTTTAACAACCACTAAAAACGATATTTGCACATTATCGTAGGACTTAATCCAATCCCTTACAGCACGACGAGATGCCTAAAACAACACCCAAATATCATAATATCATAAAGAACAATATCTGAATTATGAATAAAGTTCATTATAGTTTTCTCCATTGATAAATACAAGCATTCATGAAATTCCTCAGTCACAAGAAAGGAATCATTAAGGGGAACTGAAATTTTTGATGAGAACTGATTAGATAGGCTATGGATATTAGTGTCTGAAACATGCATGGATTTGCATATAGCTTTAGCGAAAATGGCAATAATGGTGGGTCAAAGTGTCTTCAAAAAGTGCTTTTGTTTTACCAATTTCATGTACATGCAAACTCAAAGAAGCCATCAATAACAATGTAAAAGGAAAATAAGATACTTTAATCACAACATTAAACTTAAAAGATGAACATCTAATTGTTTTGATTTGTTTTATATGGAAAAAAAATGCACAAAAACTCTACTTTTATCTCAATCTCTCTCTGAGAAAACTTAAAAGTTTTAAAAGTTGTAAAGAATCTTTTAAAGGTGGGTATTTGGATCGTAAGTCAAAGATAGCATCATAGGAGAATACTGTGATGGTAGTGGTAAAGTGGCGAAAGTCGTGGTAGTGGTGGGGGTGATTGAATTCAATGTGTTGTGTTATGTTTGTATTGATTTGTTTGACAAAAGTTATCTAATCTTGTATTCCTAATTGGTTTTTGATCTCCTAACAAGAATTTGACAACAAAAGACGGGATAGAAAATGAAATTGTATTCGATGTTTTCACTCGAACGAGCGCAAACCACGACACATCAAGGCAGGAGAAAGCCAAGGGCAATAACATTATTAATTTCAAGCATGAACACCTTCAATATACACACAGATGATGAATAAGAACATAGATTTCACTTTATGTCAATAAATCAATCATCAGATCAAGGCACAAGCATGATCTTAGTCCTACATGCTTTTTCATTAGTTTCTAAGGGCTTTGTGAAGGATTTACCTGCAAAGTGAAGCTAGCACACGGCGAGGAGGGAGGAAAGGCCTACGAGAGTGAAGAACAGCCCAATTGTCTATCAGCAAAACATCTCCCTTCTGCCAAGGAATGGCAACAGACTCCTCTTCCAGAATTCTCAAGCAGTCGTAGATGATATCAGCTGGCAATGGAGTACCGTCCCCGAACGTTACGGCCTTTACGGGGTCGTTCCTTGCATCTTCCCAGCCGGTGTATGCTGCAACCATGCTGTTAAACCAAATCTTACGCTGCCGCACTTCGTCGTACTTGATTGCTGGGATTGGACCCATAACAGTTTTCACTCCATCATTTAACCATTCAACCTTCATTCCCAGCTTAGCTGCCCTGTTGAAAGTTCAGAATTGTTAGACAAACTTGTCCAGTGAAGTTCTTGATCAAACTGCAAATAAATCATTTTATGAGATAATACAACAGTTCGAAAGATTAGGCGCAACAATGTTTGATGTAAAACAAGAACATGTAGATTCTAGTAAGACCAAGAGTCATAGGCTCTACTATCACACAGTGAAACATATTTGACAGTCGTGGAAGTCGATCTTCGTCTTTCCAAGCAATTCGATTTCTTTTCCACGACTGTCAAATGTGTTTTTCACCGGTCAACCACTAGTACTATCACGCAGGACTCTGGCAAGTCGATCTTCTTCTTTTCAAGCCATTCTCACGAAGATCGATATCGAATCCTATAGCAGATTACTGGGGTCGAATCGATAAAACCATTCTCTTTATTGAAAAATCGACGAGTTCTTTGAGTCCCAGAGACAGTTTGTTCTAAAAAGGGCTTGCGTACTGTGAAGAGTTGCAACGTTTTCTCACGAGAAATCTCTAACTACAGCCTACAATTTAACCAGCCGCTTGAGAGATTCTAGTTGTTGCAATTCAACATGATTTCAAACAAGTTAAACATCAGTAGATGGCTTGCCAGAGTCCTGACTTTGAAGTAATTTTACTCGCATTCAACTAGCAAGTCTAAGGATGTTATGAATTGAACAAAGAAACAATCAATATTCAATACAAAAAGCTACTTTTCAGCATCAATCCTCTGAGCATTTGAATAGAAAAATTGGTGGGGGTTGTATTTGATAATGAACCTTTCTTCAGCAATGCGCTTGTCGTCAGTCAAGAATGTAGATTTCCAACCACGGCCAATTGGAGATGATGGATCATCATCTTCTCCCAAAATCCTTGTGTAAATTAAACCCTGTTCTTCCAACCTCTGAACAAACTCTGGATATTTCACTTTCACTTTCTCATAAACAACATGACTAAGAACAATGGGTGTTTCTCCCCCACTTGTAGGCTCCACTTCACAATAGAAAAACAATTTGGCAGGAAATTCAGGCACCTGAAACATATAAACGCAACCCAGTTGTTCAATCTCAGACATCACCAACCAAATACAGCATCAACCTATGATTTTCCTTTGTAAAATTCAACTCCGAGGGATCTTATTAGCCAACAGAGTGGTATGCTAGATTCTACTTCGACCACATTCAAGCCATTTCAGAGATCATACTAAACCCTTATTCAAATGGTTAATTCTAAACTACAAACTAAACTAAGCTAATTATTTAGCAATTTTTATGTATAGATATGAAGCAGGAGATCTTGTAGGACTGAGTACAATGAGTACCTGGGCCAATTCGTGATGAAACGGGATCTTCTGGTCCGGCGGAGACTCGTTGGCGGTGAAAACCCGACCAACAACCCTAGTTCGAGGAGCTGCGCCTCCGACGTACGGAAACTCCTCGAAACCAAAGGACTCTACGACGTCGTTGAAGTCAGATGCTGCATCAACCGGAAAACCTCTGAAGAGTACTGCTCCGGATTTGAGAATCAGCGAATCGAGTAATGGTTTCTGGGCCTCGATGGCTCGAGTGAAGGATGAGATGGTGAAAGAAGCTGAAGATGGCGATAAAACTAACGGGAAATAGCTTCCATGGTAGTGTTTCTGGTGCGGAATTTGAATTTCCATGAAATTATCTACCGCCATGGTAGTTTCCGATAAAATTACGGGAACTTCAGCCGCCGCCGCCGCCTGGATTCTGGGTTTGGGTACACGGTGGCACTTGTTATTCACGCGCCGGTTGTTGACGTTCCGCGGTTCTTGCAATGGAGGGAAATGCGTTGGCAGTTTGCCGGGGTTTCACCTGGACGCCGTGTTCGTCCAAGTTCCAGAAGTTCGACGACAACGCGTGTAGGGCTTGGGCCTTGGCGGCTGATGCATTCAATTGGGCCTTGGCGGCTGATGCATTCAAGTTTAAGCCTAATGTTAAGCCTATACAGATTATATTAAGATACACATTAGAGCTCAAATTGCCGTTGCCGTTCGGACACAAAGAGCTCATCAATCTTTGGATAAAGACAATAGGTTTATTTCGAGATTCGGCCTCGAAAGTCTTCCGTAAGATTCGACATCGAAAACCTAAACCACTCTATTTAATAACCATTTGATTTACTTAGATTTGGCTAAATGATTATCAATCAGATCACTGAAACTCTATCATAGTTCCACCACTATCTCAAATCTCTCTTTTTTCTTACTAGCTCGTTTGGCGAGAGTTGCAAAATTCTCTAAAACCATTATAAATAAGTTCATGAAATGTACTCTATTTTAAAAATATTAGAAATAATAAATAAAACTCAATACTACGACACAAGTTATAAAGAGAAGTTGTAAGAAAGAAGACATAATTGTGGAGAATGAGTTTTCGTGAACATACATGGCAATCTCCTAAATGTTGCATGGTCTGGCGTTGGAAACAAGAAATGAAATCTGAAACTGTCTGTCAAAAAATTCAATCTCAATTTACGCCCTTTGCACTAGATCTCTAGATCAAGATTAGTTACTGGCTTTAAGTTATAAATTAGAAGAATAATTGAACTTTAACTTGTGGTTCTGCACGTGTTATAAATTTAATGTGTGAATTGTTTATGAATCGATATGACTATGATATGTTATGTATGTATTATGATATGTGAATGATATGATAACTCTTACGTTATGATGTGTTCAATGATATATATGAGAGATAGGATACGAGAAGGATGCGATAAACGTAATATAACAATATGACAAATATGTGACTGACATAGCGATATGATTAGATTATGTATAGAAAAGGATATGGTTAGGATAGATTGATAGAACGATATGATTACGTTATGGATAGAACAATTGTTATGATTTTATAGGTAAGAAACAATAATATAATCGAAATAAATTCATAGGACTTAACTCATTTGAATTTGACTTGATTGTTGGTCGAGTCAATATTGACATCTATCTCTACCAAAAGGACGGAGGTGAGGTTTTGATACGAAAAAGTAGCTGAGGGCCTCCATGAGTATCAAACAAGCCAAAATAATGAACCAAAGGTTCCTCTTCCACCGACCCGTCATCTTTCCATCTAGTTGGAGATAGAAACTCTAGAACAATGGCAATGGCATCCTCTATTGCAGTTCTATATCCCTTATCCAATCTAGAACCCCCACCAAATCTTAAAACTACCACGTTCATTGTCCATTACACTCATCAAGCCACCGTCACTCCCACGAGTGTCCTTTTGGCCGCGGCAGGAACAGTAGCTTTTGTCGATGATTGACCGGAGTCGTTGATCATAAGCACTGAAACGGCACAAGTTATAAAGATAAGTTAAGGTAGAAAGAAGATATAATTGTGGAGAAGGGGTTTTTGCTACAACGCGCGAAGGAATGAACATACATCGCAATCTCCTTAATGTTGCATGGCCTAGAGTTAGAAACAAGAATCGGAATCTATTCAAGACTGTCAAAAAATCCAATCTCATTACAACATATGGTCAGCCGATTTATGCACTTTGCTGTGAATCAAGATCTAATTACATGTTACCTGGTTTCAAGTCAATGGGTAAAACTAAGCTAAATATTGGAAGACATTTGGGAACTATCAAATTTTCGTAATAAAACAAAAACACATAAAAATAAATAAATAAATAATAACAATAATAATAAATTAATAAAGAAAAGGAAACCGATCAAAACAAAGAGAAATGCCTCCAAAGGATTGTTGCGCATTTCGAAAAAGGATTGTTGTCCACTATGGATTGTTTTGCACCATTCACCAAAGTGTTACCCAAATTAGCCCATACGAGTGCTCGTAGCAACCTAAAACAAAGAGAATCTAAAACTATGCATTCATCGAGCATCCAATAACAAGACACTATGATGTTGCTATCATATGCATATGTATATTGCTTCGCTACATGTTCAATAGCACGCATATTCATTTGATAAAGAAACACACACCAAACCTTTATAACAAGCTAGAATACAAAAGGTAAAGAGTTGCAGTGGTTTATACAACGATCAAGTCTAGGTCTAGTTTCTACACAGATCACCATGCTTCTACCAAGCCAACGGTGATATTGTTTTCATCGCTCAGTTTAGAGATCCCTCATTTGGTGCTTTCAAGTCAACTACAATAACTGAGATATTGTCGCCACTCAAATTACTAGCTTCCTTGCGTATTTTATTTGCAGCACATTGAGCTGGATAAATCACATTACCAGTTCCACCAAGCGCCAACTTCTTGCGTTGCCTTTTCAGTACGCTGCAAGCCATCTTCATCACATCATCGTTGGATAACACATCCCACACTCCATCACTTGCCAGAATCAAACACTCATCTTCCTCGGTCCTCGATGTGAACGTAATCTCCGGTTCAAATATAATCCACGGTTTCAAGTAATGATCACCTGGTCAAAAATATATTCGAAAATCGCAACAATGAAAGATAAACATCCACTAGTTGTCCGCTCATTTAAAGAATGATCATGGGTTTATAAGCAAATAATACTCTCTCCAATGGTACGAGACCTTTTGGGGAAGCCCAAATCAAAGCCACGAGAGCTTATGCTCAAAGTGGACAATATCGTACCACGGTGGAGAGTCGTATTCGTGTAACAGTTATGAGTCGGTATGGGTTAGAAGAAACCTATTGCTCTGGTCATTGCCAGCACTCCTTCGACCCTAGGACAGCCTACAAACAGAATTTTTGCTCCTCCCTTCATAAGTCTATCATATTCATCTGGCCTGCTAATCTGCATCAGAAGAGGGGAAATTCTTTGAATCATAATATTAACTAAAAACATTGAAGAATTGGACATAATTGAACCTTGTGGTCAACTGTCAAGGGAATGGCTTGATTCCCACGACAAAGCAGTGCTCTAGAGTCACCACAGTTGGCAACAATTATTTGGCAAGCTGACAGAAGAACAACCAAAGCGGTAGATCCAACTGAATATGGGGCCAGAGTCTTGTCCTTGAAGGCATCGTCAACCCTCTCATAAGACCTCGTCAATGCCATTTCCCATCGCTCTTGCTGCCCATTTTCAGAGACCCCTCTGTTCCACTCTTCTGCTAATAGTTGATGGAACTTCTTTGAACAATAAGTACTCACCTGAAATCATCGTTAAACATCTAAAATTGTACCGAATCATAATGCTACCATTATGTCAAATGTGGTTGTGAAGCAAACGAGAGGTTATTAGTGAAGCTTCCACCAAACATTTTTATAGTTCTTCTTCAACTAAATCCTCGTACATGCAAATGACCTTTTAACAACCGGAAACAAACACAAGAACATGCAAACCATAAATATTTCTCCTCGTCCATCAGTTCAGCGAAGACACTAAGTATATAGCCTCCGTTTGGTGTTCAAAGGAGCACTAGACCAAGAAAATGAAACCGATCAAAACAAATATAAATACCTCAATCCATCCACATTTCTAATTCCAAAATGAGACACTAGTAAGAATTAAAATGATAACAAAACATCATGCATTGAAACGAGCGGGCAATATTTTGAACCATGGACTCTAGCTTCCCGGTGGGTTGGATGAGATCTAGACCAGGCCCAGGCCCAGGCCCAGGCCCATTTCAGAAACAACCAAATCTGATTTATGGGCCGAATCATCCAGGTTTGGGCCTATGAGCCATTAACATTATTTTTCCAAAAATGCCCTCGTCCCCTCTTCCAAAATAAAAAATTCATTTTTGGCTACATTTTAAATCATGTTTTAATTTATTCACCTGCTATAATTTTAGTTTTCATAATTAATCCATTTTATAAAAAATAAAATTATTGGATGAATTAGAGTTAAGAAATATAAATAAAAGAAATAATTAACTTTTTCAAAGGAACTATACTGACACTCTGTCCATTACCATTACCTGACACTCAATCAATTACCATCAGTTGCATCACTGCTTGATCGGTAAGGGTTGGGAAGAGTGTCTCAAACCATGGGACAAAGGATCAAACACTTTGATTTTACTTCCGACACCACCACAGGTCGGGTTCGGGTAGGTTGGATATGAGAGTGCGAGTGATGAAAAAATTATAAACAGATACTCTATTAAGGAACTTGGAGAGACCACACTCGAATCCGCACCTAAACCATCAATTTTTAGTTTTTTTTGTTCTGGGTAGCATACCATCACTTTCTATTTACCACCGATATCACGTACAAAAAACAATAAGTGCATTCAACTAATTAGAGATATAAGAAAAGGTACCTGAGGGCCTCCATGACCATCAAACAAGCCAAAATAATGAACTAAAGGTTTCTCTCTCACGGACCCGTCGTCTTTCCATCTAGCTGAAGATAGAAACTCCGGAACAATGGCAATGGCATCCTCCATTGAAGTTCTACGTCCCTTGTCCAATCCAAAACCCCACGAAATCTCACAACTACCGCCTCCATTGTCTATTGCACTCATCGAGCTCATCGAGCTACCTTCACTCACACGAGTGTCCTTCCGGCAGCGGTAGCGACAACAACTTTTATCAATGATTCACCGGAGTCGTTGATCATAAGCCCGGAAGCGATTCAAGTTATAAAGATAAGTTAAGGTAAGAAAGAATATATAACTATGGAGAAGGGGTTTTTGCTCCAACGCGTGGAAGAAGGGATGAACATACATGGCAATATGGAAGAAAGGAATGAACATACATGGCAATATGGAAGAAGGGATGAACATACATGGCAATCTCCTCGATGTTGCATGGCCTGGAGTTGAAAACAAGAATGGGAATCAGTCTGAAGCTGTCAATAAAATCCAATCTCATTATGACATATGGAATCTCTTCACAGATTTAGATTTATGCACTTTACTCTGAATGCACTTTGCTATGAATAAAGAACTAATTACATGTGGCATGGTCTCAAGTCATTTGGTAAAACCTTACATGTGGCGTGGCTTCATGTCGTTTGGTAAAATTTGGCTAAATATAGGAGACAAAAAACAATTACACTTGATTCTCTAAATTAGCACTTTGCTTTGAATTAAGATCCATTTACATGTGGCTGGGCTTCAGATCATTGGGGGAAGGTTCGGCCGGCACTTTACCTTCTTTAAGAGGTCTTACTCAATACCTCTCTTAGTCTGTCTCCTTTAAAAGACTGTAAACAAAGATAGTTCGAAGAAGGAATCAATCTTGACCTTATTCCTTATCAGACAGACAACAACAAAGAGACAATTTACTTAGTTAAAGAATTTAATACGGTATAAGTTATTGAGTTCAGGAGTTGCTTGCCCCAGTCTACTTGTGTGAAGATCGCTTTAGAGTCTAATTTCTAAAGTTGGTCATGACAAACCTAGTGGCATTAGAAAGGAAGAAAGTAATAAATTTTCATGAAACAAGTGACGGTCAATAATCCTCACAAGAAAGATAAATAAAATAGTTCTTCATCATACTTAAATAACCTACAAATTAGAATCGAAATCAGAAGGGGTAGTTAGTGTAATACAGAGTCTTAGCTTGAGAATTTGAACAAGAACAAGAAGCACTTTACACTCATGTATGTCTATTGTTAGCTTGAGAATTTGAACAAGAACAAGAAGCACTCTTACACTCATGTTGAACAAGAACAAGAAGCACTCTCACACTCATGTATGTCTATTCATGTATGTCTATTCTTAGCTTGAGAATTTGAACACGAACAAGAACAAGAAGCACTCTCACACTCATGTATGTTCCCCGTTGAAGCTCACTCCCAAAGTGTCAATTCCTTGATTAGAAGGCTATGGAGATGATCACGATAACACTAGAGAGAGATGTATTAATTTAATGCCTAAAAAAGGTACAGAGATTATCCACGAAATCAAGTTAGGATCTCCTTATTAATATATTTATTACAATATCTACCTGTTACAGTTACAAAGAATACATATACTTTAAGAACTTTCTCTGGCCTACATTATCATTAAAACATCCACACTACCAAACTTTCTATGAAAGACAAAACTAATTAGGGGTGTAATTTTTCAAGGAAATCTCACGATGCATAATAAGACGCCTCCCTTCTTGTTTCAAAGAGCTTTGTTTGTGTCATTGTCGTCCTTGTTTAACTCCGAACGACTGACTCGAGCATTTGGATGAAATGCTGACAGTCGTCTTGAGGGTTCGCTTATCAATTTTAAGGTCAGAGGTGAAGGCTCTTTATGCTCCCTTTCGTGCTCTCGTAGAGTGAGTTGAGACATGCCGACTAGTTCATCAACGTTGACAGGTTCCTTTGGCACAACTGGAATTGGCTTTAGTACCTCATGATGACACATTTCTACACCCTTTTCTTCTTCAATTGGGACTGTACTTGGTGCCCAAATAGAAAAAGGAACAGGCACGTAAGCCGAGATGTATCCCGGTATCATAGGCGGGAAACCAGCAACTTCCATCTTGGGTTCATCAAGTTCTTTACCATTTTCTTCAACTGCAGTTTCCATGATATGGAACTCTGAGTTAAGTGAGAGATTTAGTGAAGGTTGTGAACCAGTGTTCTCTGTTTCTTTTGCCTGATAACCATGTAAAACTTCATCTTCTGGCGCACGCAGCAGATCAGTTTCCTGAAAGACATGAAATAAAAGAACAAAATCCTTATCAAGTATAAATGGTACCATGCTAACAGATAGGCGCACTGAGACCCAATAGCAGATGCATTATGAATTACTGGCACGAGGGTCACTGATCTTTCGATTACAGTACGAGACGTGATCACAGAAACATGACAAGAGATTTCAACAGAAATTAAAATGCGAAGTCAACAGGTCTGCCAGGCACCAAATGTAAACTAGAAAATATAAGAGTTCAAGACAAACCGTCTCTGGAACCATGTCGAAAAGGCTTGACCTACGCTTTCTTCTTGTTGCGTTACTCAGCCGAATGAAATACTTCTGGGCATGGCTTGCCACCTGAGTTGGAGTCCTTGTAATAACAAAATTTCGAGAAATCCCGCGCCAGTCTCCTTTCCCCAGTTTCTGAAGACCAAATAAGAATAATCGATGCTCCTCCTCTGTCCATGGAACACCTGAAAACGAATTCTAAGGTATCAAACATCAGTAGTATAATACCTGATCCAATTATTAGAACTGCAATCCATTAAGAGAGTATGCAAACTGTTTGATCACTTTTGTCAAATTCCATTGGCCAACTTGAGAGATAAACCTCAATCTCTTTCGATCAAAAAATTGTAGACTCGACATGAAAACACATCGACTTTCTGGCCTTTGGGGAGTTCTACAAATGCCGATTCTTCAAAAAGAAAGTTGAAACAGAGACTTTTACCTACCAAAACTATAATAGACTACACCAATCAAACAAGAAGAATAATAACTTTCAAATCAATTGATAATTTACCATCTAATGTCAACTTTAGGCTCTTACAGCTAAGCTAATCAAACAATGTTAATGACATACAAACTCTTCACCCATCCAGCCATGTTCGCATACTAGATAGTAATTGCATGGCCCAGTCTCCACCCACTTCTTTCCTTACAAAGGTCTACAAGTTTCTGATTCAACATATCCTGCTAAAATATTGCAAGCAGTTACGAAACTTATACATGTATCATGCAATGCAATATTTACCACAAAATGTAACCTAAAGAAGTATCCGTCCCCTCCGACCTCCTCCTAGACCTGTCGACTTAAAATGAAATTATTATCAAATGTCAAGCAATTGAAGGCATTATTCCCCTCTTCAACTTTCCACAGCTATCATTACAGTAACCATTGAGAGGAAAGACACCAAACCCATATGGAAAAGCCTGTAGGTCATTACCTCTCAACACATAATTAGGAAGAACTGATTCATAGTTTTCTACACATGATTAAGGGAAGTATTTGAAAAAATCTACTCCATCCACACTATCCACCAAGAAACTTGAGATCAGAGACCTCATTCTTAACAGTTCAACCACGGAAGTTACAGAAAGCAGCATAAGCCATCGGAATGGGAGTATCAATGATAATACGACACTAAATTCAGGAGTAGAAATTCGCAACAAAACCAGAAAAAAAAAAGGACGGAACAGATCAAAAGAAGAAGAAAGAAATAGTCAAAGAAAAATTCCGAAATGATACTAATAAAACTGATGGAGACAAGAAAAGCACCCGAAGGTGAAGCTGTGATGACAGACACAAAATCCGTCACAAATATACAGCAACAAACGATTACGAAATATATCAACTAAAATCTAAACACGGAGATCACGAAATTAAGCTGCCTTATTCAAATCGCACGGGAAATCAGGCACAAATTCCTCTCGGAAACAAATATTTCAAAACGAAGCTATAATGTTACAATTCTGAAACTGTTTACCCGTTACCTTTCTTCCTTTCAGCCCCTCGATTAGCAGAGCAGGTTGCATGGGAAGGATCGTCGGAAAGAAAGCCATCGGTATCATGAACAGCGTCGGAGTTAGGGGAGTCAGGATTCGGCGAGGCGGCGGCGGAAGAAGAACTATGGTAATGTGCAGAGAGGTTACCCATGCTAGCGCTTTTCTTGATGAAAGACCCATCGGTGAGCCTAACCCCAAAGAGCTTCACACCACCACCACAGCCGCCGCTGGAAAGGGCACCACTGCCGACTCTACCGCCGCGGGAGGGGCAGGTGCGGGAGTTGTGGCCATTGTTGCTGCAGTGAGAGCAACGCCGAGTCATTGCGACCGGTGACCCGGCGAGTCAAGCCCCCGAGTTAGTGAAGAGAGCACAAATGAGAGAAGATGGTGGAACTGAAGATCGCGAGAAATTAGAAGAATTGAAAGAGAGAGAGGATTTTTTGTGGTAGTGTTTAGGGAAAAATCAAACTTACTCTGTTCGTTCAATCGGGAGAGATTGGCGAAACGCGGGTGTTCGTTGGTAAAGACTTTTCCAATGTGACCATTTTACCCTTGTTTAGGATAACCTACTCTTTTCCTCCTAGTCTCCTCTCCCCATCTTCTTTTATCTTTCGAAAACATTATTTTTTTGATCTTATAATACTAATTAAATACCTATTAAACATTTTAGTCTATTTTTTATTTTTTTTAATTTATAAAACTCCAACGATCCTCAATAGCTCGTGGGTTGTTGGATTTGTCTGTCCGTAGGTTTGAAACAGCAAGAGTCATCTCACTAAAATGGTTCGACTCATTTTTTAAACAAAAAAGACAAAAACGGGAAGAGTGAATAAAAATTATAGTGTCAACAACGACATGTGACAACAATAATGATGACGACAGTCAACGACCATGAACATAAAGCAGTGATTATTTGTTTTTAAGTAAGTCTTGGCTTACGTATGACAAGATGTCATTTGGTATACAAAATATGTTATGTTGTAACTCACTATAGGTGAGACTAGAAGCCATTTCGACCGGTGTAATCCATAATTCAGATGCTCGAGACAAGTACAAAGCTAAATAAAGTCACGCTAAGTATTCCTTGATGTATGTAGAAACGTAAATCAGAATTAAGCATGTAAGAATCTAACACAACGAGATAAGCCAAATCGAAATTACAATGGTTTCAGTTATATAATTATTAATTCAAATAATTGAATTAATATAAATAAATTTATTTTTATTCAAAGTTATTGAGAATAATTGTTATCCTATAAAATATACCGTGTGGATAATTTAAACTTTTTAATCACCTTTTTATCCTTTTTTTTATTCGTTCAACAAAGCTGTAAAGAGCGTAAGATCAGAGGGTAAAATGGAGAAAGATAATTTATTTTTTTTTAAAAGACAAATTAAAGTTATTGTGTTATTTTAATCTTAAAATATAGTATAGTAATTCAATAAAAGGTAAGAGAAATTCGATTAATTTGTAACGGCATCCATAAATAAAAAAATTTGACCATATATTTTCATTAATTGATTTATTTAAAAGTAAATTATTCTCAATGTTTTTTTTATTTAACAGTACTTTTTCGATTTTCTTTGTTCAATATTGGTCTTGGTCGTGGTCAATGTTGTTAGCATAATAAAATAAATCATAATATAGTAAATTTTAATTATTTTAAAAAAATAATTACACTAAGGATGAAATTATTAATTATTATTTTATTTTAAATATTAATAAAAATATTAACCATCTCAATAAATAATTAAGAGACAAAATGCACGATTAACTTAAATTATATTCTAATTAAGATTAAAGAAAAACTCAAGTACATACTTGAATTATACTACTAATTTTGATTTAAAATATCATAAACTCCCTTGTCCTGTACTCTTTTCTCTCTCTATAATGGTCGGATTTAGAAGATTTTTTTAGTATTTTAAACACATGACTTATCTTATCTTATACTTTAATAATAATAATAATAATAATAATAATAATAATAATCATAATAATAATAATAATAATAATGTTTTGACTTGTACATCAATGTTTATATCCGTTTATTAACTAGATATATATCCACTTTATGAAAAATAATATAATTATCTTCCCAATAATCATCCCATTCTATATTCATTTTTAAAAATAAAGTTTTTTTTTCATAAAAATATAATTCTACGTATATTTAAAAGTTTATTTAAATAAGATTTGAAGTAAAAATATTCAGTAGAAGTCTCACCATCTTCTGCTTCAAACCAAATGAAAAATTCATGTTTCAATGATAATGAGAGAGGGTGTAGGAGATTTCCCTACATTAGCTAAACTCGGTCAAATAAAGTAAAATATATATATATATATATATATATATATATATATATATATATATATATATATATATATATATATAA